CCCCTTCTTCAATTCTGAAGAAGGGGTCCGGACCCAAAACGTCAGCTCTCCTGCTCCTCTGCCGCCTGGCCTGCTGTGTTCATCCAGCTCTACATCTTGTTATCTTGGATAGGCTGGGACTTCAAGGCTAGGGGGCACATTTTTGAGGTGAGAAGAGAGAGATTTAACAAAGACATAAGAGACAAGTTTTTTTTTACACAGAGGGTGGTTTCCGTGTGGAATGAACTTCCTGAGGAAGTGGTGGATGTGGGTACAATTACAATGTTTAAAAGATATTTGGAAAGAAGCAAATTGAGGGGTGGAGGGGCAGACTGAGTGGGCAAAGGGGCAGAATGAAGTTGCAGAGGAGCAGAGTGAGGTGGGTGTAGAGTGAACTGGGTTAGATTGAGTCAGGAGGGACAGAGTGAGCAGGTGGAGGGATGGTGGGGTGGCAGAAGGGCAGAATGATGGGACAGGGGCAGAGTGAGGGCGTGGAGAGACAGAGTAAGCGTGGAAGGGGCAGAGTAAAGGTGTGGAGGGGCACAATGAGTGGTGGAGAGGCAGACTGAGGGGGCAGCAGTAGAAGCAAAGTGGATGGGTAGTGTTTCACTGCCTTTTCACCCATTTTTGCTGAGGTTCAATGTCTTTTCCAGAGTATATACTAAACAAGTAAATGATGGTAGCTGCAATTTAAGTTTGAGCATGCAGTGTTTTTATATCCAAACCATGAAGAATGAACTATGAGCAGTAAATTAACTAATGTATGCATCAATATTCCAAAGGAGTCAATGCACTAACTTGAACATCTGCATACAGTGTGATAATTCTAGGATCTGGTCTGTGTAATTGGTGAGGAACATTTTCAATTTGGTGCCAACTTGCTTGGTCCAATGGTTAATGATTTACCAAGTTAAACTCCGCAGGCAATTAATTTCATTGTTATTAATTTCCACCTAATACTAGATCTTAACAGTAAAATCACACAGGCCATGTTAGAAAAGTGTGAAGTAAATTTAGACTTTGAATTCTGACTCCTTTCATTTATTCAGTCTGCAGATCTCTTCATGTCCCTGGTGTTTGACCTCCGGAGTCTTTCCATAGGAACTCTCCGAGACCTGTGGCAACGGGCGCTGTTCAAATGCAGAGACAACTGGTAAGAGTCACAGGCTTTTGGTTAAAGGCCCAGCACCTGATGTGGTAACTGAGATTGTCTTTTTGCTTGGATATGGTACTGTCATCAGCATCATCAGTGTCCCTCACAGATGGGGATCACCGTCTTCCACTCTCAGGGTAAGTGTGTATGTGGCTATACAAACCAATACGGCTACTGCAGGCTCTGTTACACTTGGGGCAGAGGGTGGTCATGGGAAGGGGATGGGTGGGGCTTTGCTGTGACAACATGCTCCTTACACTGTTTTCGCCGGCTTCTGCTTTTCGCCGATGACAAGTCTTGAGGTGTTTGATGCCTTCCCGGATGCTGCTCCTCCACTTTGAACGGTCTTGGGCCAGTGACTCCCAGGAGTCTGTGGGAATGCCGCACTTTGCCAGTGAGGCCTTGAGGGTATCACTGAAGCGCTTCCTCTATCCACCTGTTTTGGAGCTGGGAGTAGAGATCACCTGTTTGAGAAGTCTCGTGTCGGTCATGTGGGGTGATATGCCCAGCCCATTGTAACTGATCAAGGGCGATCAGTACCTCGCTGCTGGGGACGTTGGCCTGGTCAAGGAAACTGGTGTTGGTGCGTCTTTCTTCCCAGCGGATTCGCAGGATCTTGCACAGGCAGCATTGGCAGTACTGCTCCAGTGTCTTGAGGTGTCCGCTGCTTTGGTTGTGCGTGTGGTGCTGTACCAAGTGGTGAGAAGGCATGTACCTTTGGCTGGTTCTCAACACAATGCATTAATACAGTGAGGAAGAAGAATCTGTGTGAAGGATTGAACACTACAGTTCTGTCATCCCTGAGGTTTTTCAGCCACTCGTTGCTCCCTGGGGACGTGAGCCCGAGTGGATTTGAGGAATCTGCCTTTGCTGTGTCCACTTTGCAGGGGAACTGGTGCTCAAACAGAGTTACCTTCGTTCCACTGATCTGAAACCTACATCTGGCTTGGTGTCAGCTCCTGCCACTGAAGTATAAGCTGCGACATCATGTTTTCTCCAGTGTATCCACCAAATGAGTAACTGATGGTAGCTGTGATTTAAATCAGAACATGCAGTGTTTTTATATCCAAACCACCAAGAATGAACAATATATCAAACAAATGCATCCATCAATATTCCAAAGGGAATTGTTGCACTAATTGGAACATCTTCATACATTCTGGGATCTGGTCTGTAGATATTTTGCTGATCGACCTGTCCAGGGACGGTATAGCGCACCTCTGGAGCAGGTGGGTCTTGAATCCGGGTCTCCTAGCTCAGAGGTAGGGATGCTACCACTGTGTATGGGATCTGGTCTGTATCTTTGGTGCGAGATATTTTAAATTTTTTGTACAAGTTTGCCTGGTCTGGCACATTCATGAAACCAATGCAGGGGATGCCTTACCCATGTCATAGTGAACCTCACTACCAAAGAAATAAGATGGGTACGTTTGGATGAGGTGACATCTTCACTATTTCTCATGTAGAAAAGAAGCAATAGTGAGACAAAAATGAGTATGATTCACTGAAGTAAAAAAATCCCTTGATTTTAGAAAGGATTTCATGTCGAAATCATGTCACTTTCCATATCATCCCCACTGCCTTCGTGAAGTAAAGGGCTTTAGGCTTTGATTTCGGACCACAGAGTGTCAGGAACAATGGTTTTTGTCCACACTGTTTAAATGTGAAACTAGGCTGGCTCTTTGGCGATCTAACTGTCCACCCTATCGTGCTGGTGGCCTCCATCACAGCTACCTAGGTGGAAATTAGAGCAGCTGTTTGCACACGTATCCTCGCGTTCCTGGGAAGTGTCATCTGGGGAACCATGGAAGAGGGTGGGTGGGCACATTGCTTCAAATGGTACTTACTGGAGGATTGGCAACTTCCCCATTTAATGTGCGTAACACGTTATTCTGGATCATGGAAGTGGGGTCTGCAGTGAGGACTTCCCAGAACAAATGAAAAGGAGGTCGATGAGTCACGTGCAGCTGGGCAGTTGTTTTTAGCCACAACTAGGACCATCTTCCTTCATTCCTGGACTGAAATGTTCAGTATTAAAGCAAAACAGTGCTGCCCACATGCCTTCCCAGGATAATTTATTAATGACCAAACAGCCATGTTCAACAGGGTCTAGGCCCGAAACGTCAGCCTTTCTGCTCCTATGATGCTGCTTGGCCTGCTGTGTTCATCCAGCTCTACACCTTGTTGTCTCTCTTCAACACAAGGCTGGCATTTTGTGGGAAGTTTGGACACCGTCTGGCTCTTGTGCTATAAGCCAGTGCGAGGTAATATTTGTGGGATCAAATAATTGACCCCCTGTTATCCTTTATCATGTTATGGAAAACCTTTTATAAATAAACACCACACTTCTTCACAGACTGAACTAATCATGTTTTGATTTGTATGGCTGGCAACATGTATCAGGAAACTGTGTGCTCCCAGCCTGTGACTTTTAAGGATTCTGCTAAATGAAAAAGTCATGGTTGGTGTGAACAATTTCTGGATTATATATTCCTAGCAGGTACGGGTATAGCCAAGGCAAACAGTCTTATGTTCTTTTTAGAGTACATCGCTGTGATTAGTTAGCTAGACATGGAATCGCAAATAAACATCTGTTAGATTATGGAAGTGAGGCGTTTGGAGAATGTTAATTAGTGCCTCTTGAAAATGTATAGATTTGAGCCCTGAGCACCTCAACTCTCCAACTGACAAACTGAACCTTTTAATAAGTATTTGCCTACAAAGTGTCTGAAAGGTTATCCCTATTCAGCACAATCTGACCTCACATCAGCTTGTTCTGTGTGACTTATATGTAGTTTAATGCAGCTGCATTTTCAGTTATGTGTACAGAATTTCTGGCTTTTATGTAACTGCTATGCTACTACTGAGGAATTCTGCCAGCAACAATACATCTATCTTGCCTTGAAGACTTTTTCTTGGTTTGACGTTGGAAAGGGAAAAAGGAAACAGTAATGTGAAGACTCCATTGGCTGTGTGTCCTGGCAATCAGTTTAAAGCTTTTGACTTCGTTATTTCTGTTTTGGGAGCTTGCTTTTGTGCACAACTGCAGTTCGGTATTATAGTCACGTTCACAGGCAAGTAACACAGACACATTTATAACTACAAATCTGGAAATAGTCACTGCAAGAGACTGAGGGCTTAGGAAACACAACAGCTGAAATGACAATCTTGTCCATCCTTCGGCTGCTTCTCTTGTGGGATCTGAGAGGGTTAATATTTGATTGTATGTAATAGTGCTGATTGGTGGGAGAGTAAAGTAGGATCATATGGGAGTCAGACTGAAGGCTGGTTTTTCCCAACAGTCTTTGTCGTAATGCAGATCCTATTCTTTTAAACTGTAAATGGTTGCAGAGATGCAATAAACTACATGTTGTTTCCTCAGAGTCTCCTCACTTTTGACCAGAAGCTGGCTACCTTCATTCGCACACACAGAAGCACATGCACACACGCACACAGATGCACACGCACACAGACACACACACACGCACGCAGACACACACATGCCACACACAGACTCACATGCACACAGACACACACGAACACACAGACACACACGCATGCACACAGACACACATATGCACGCACACACTCTCACGCGCACACACACATGCCGCAGACACACGCACACAGGCTAGACCACAATTGCCCTTAAAAACAAATTCCGTACTCTTTGAAGTTATGGAGACCCAGAACAGGCTTAGAGTCATACAGCATGGAAACAGACCCTTCAGTCCAACCAGTCCATGCCAAACATAATCTTAAACTAAACCAGTCCCACCTGCCTGCTCCTGGCCCATATCCCTCCAAACCTTTCCTATTCATGTACTTTTCCAAATGTCCTTTAAAGGTTGTAATTGTGCCCACTTCCTCAGGAAGATCATTCCACACGTGAACCACCCTCTGTGTAAAATATTTGTCCCTCATGACTTTTTAAAATCTCTTCTCTCACCTCCAAAATGTACTCCCCCCCTCCCCCCCCCCCCCCCCCCCCCCCTCGAAATCCCCCATCGTAGGGAAAAGACAATTACCATTAACCCTATCTATACCCCTCATTATTTTGTAAACTTCGATAAGGTAACCTCTCAACCTCCTAAGCTCTAGTGAAAGAAAGTGCCAGCCTGTCATTATAACTCAAACCCTCCATATCCGCCAACTTCCTAGTCGATCTCTGTGGTGCAATTAGTCAGTGTGTTTGGTTGTTAACCAAAGGGCTGCTGGTTCAAGACCACCCAGGAACGGAGCTTTCTTGTTCCCATTCTGCCAGTGTTCTTTAAAGGTGGCACGGTGGATCAGTGGTTAGCACTGCTGCTGCACAGCGCCAGGGACCTAGGTTTGATTCTACCCTCGGGCAACTGTCTGTGTAGAGTTTGTACATTCTCCCCGTGTCTGCGTGGGTTTCCTTTGGGTGCTCCAGTTTCCTCCCACAGTCCAAAGATGTGCAGGTTAGGGTGGATTGGCCATGCTGAATTGCCCATGGTCCAGGCTAGGTGGATTAGCCATGGGAAATGCAGGGTTACAGGGATAGGGTAGGGGGATGGGTCTAGGTGGGATGCTCTTTGGTGGTCAGTGTGGACTCGATTGGCCAAATGGCCTGCTTCCACGCTGTCGGGATTGTATGAAATCTCTTCTGAACCCTCTCCAGCTTAATTATATCCTTACTGTAACTGGGTGATCAGAATTGGACACAGTACTCCAGAAGAGGCCTCACCAATGTCCTGTACAGCCTCAGATAGCAAGAACTACAGATGCTGGAGTCAGAGTCAATTCAGTGTGGAGCTGGAAGGGCACAGCCGGTCAGACAGCATCAGAGGAGCGGGAAAGTCGTTGTTTCGGGTTTATGGTGTAAACCCGAAACGTCAATGTTCCTGCTCCTCTGCTGCTGCCTGACCTGCTGTGTTCCTCCTGTGCAACATGACTTCCCAACTCCTATACTCAAAGGACTGAGCAATGAAGGCAAGCATGCTAAATGCCTTTTTAACCACCCTGTCTCTATGTGATGC